AGCGCCACCCCACGACAAACCTGAAGGCTCAGGCTATCTATTGTAAATGTTACCTTAAGAACTCGGAGAGTCTTGAAAGGGTGTAGTTTCCCCCGCAAACAAATGCGAAAAAAAACAATCTTACAAAAATATGCGGTAAGTTTTCAACAGATTTAGGCAGGGTTGTAAAGCTTTAGAACAAAAGGGTTAATAGAGGATGCACGTTTGAATAGACGGCATTTATGCGCAAGTCAGAGCAAGAGGGGAGACAGAAGCACTAAAAGCTGAAATAACAACTATTGATAAATGATGTAGATGTCTCAGGAACACAGAGAACCTTGTCAGCAATACAGTACACTAGAACTTTGTTTCAGTCAGCCATTCACTTATCAGGCCACAGAAACGTTAGTGATCTGCTTTGGTTCATGTTGCCCAACCTGGTAATGCATTCTTCTGAAGCACCTTCTACTAACTAGTAACTTCAAATACATACTCAAAGTTCAGCAAACTGAAGAGCAAACAGGCTCTGTTCTTTGAAAAAGACTTTAGGCACCAGTGCTCGGGGTAGGATTACTATACCTGTTAGCTCAAAACAGAGCCAGTCAGCAGCCGAGACTCCATCTTCCTGCCACAGACCACAAGGACATGTTCTCCCTAGCGCTGCCTCGCTGCTGGGCTTTACTCCTTTCTGTTGCAGGTCAGAAAACTCAAGGCGTACATACGGCTATAAATAGCACGGGCAGCCAGGAGAGTCGTGTCATGGACTACAGTCATGTCTGCAGGGCAGCACAATAGAGGCATTATGGGTTTGAGGAGGGGGGTATGTGTGGGGTTTTGTTTGTGGTCTGTTGGGTTGGTTTTTTTTTTTTAAAGATTCCTCATCTGGACTATGGCTGGCTTCAGGGGTCAAGAAGAAAGGCTGAAGACAGGGACCCAACATGAAATAGTTTATAGAGTATGTTTTGTGCCAAAAATACTGCTCTATATCCCAATTTGCTACTAGAATTACAACAGAAAATTCTTTATAGTGAATGTAATAGGAATGCAAGCCAAATGCTCAACTAATTTCAATAAGTTATTATATACAGATGAATAAATCCTCCTGAAGTCAGACTGTCCTTGATGTCATTATGGTGTACATTAAATACGGATTTAAAATTTCAGATAAAAGTAGTTCTTTCGCAGACAAACTTATTTACTGTGTCAATTCTAAATTAGCTCTTGAGGGATTTCAAGGATATCCAGTATTGGTTGGCAGGTTTAAAGATTATTCTTGAAAAGCTGTGCACAATCTATGCGTAGTTTTCAAATCATTAATTGATCAAAAGCTCTATGTCTGTAAAGCTTGAAGTCTGCAGATTATGTCCGTTATTCTTACCAGAAGCAAGCCAGCACACTGCTTAAGAAATGAAGAATGTCAGTAATGATATGATTTCAATTTAAAAAGAATTAAACATACACCTCACCCTTTAACTTCAGTAAGACTGTATCACCTTGAGAAAATTCAAAACCATAGAGTGCAGGATACATCAGTTGGTATATTTTCTTCCTTCCATATGGGTAATCTATATTCTGTCCCTTCCCCTAAAAGGTGGGCAAGGTCTGATTTGAAAAGCAAACCTGAAGAAGGAAAATAATGCAGACTCATTCTTTATTAAAGTCTTTAGAGTGTATTTGCTAAACGCCAGGATGATGTAAGCTCATGAGGATCATCTCTCTCAATAGATTATTCAGCAGTGAAAAGTGGAATGAAGAGAAGCCTAGAGAAAAGCCCCCAAATATACTGTGGGAAGTAAAAAGAAAAAAAAGGAAGGAAGGGGAAGAAGAGCAGCAGCATAGGGCAGAACCAGCACCGTTTCCAGCAATGATCATACTTTCTCATCGGATGAAGCAAGAGGTGTTTATCAAGTAAATAAAGATATAAAAAAATTAATATATTAAAGGCATTTATGATTATTAATTTTATTCTCATCACAGGTTCCCAGGATACAGCTGCAATAGAGTATGTTTCGTCTACTTTTAAGAACTGGTTATGTTTAAAAAAAAAAAAATCAACACTTTTCAATGGGCAAACCTTTAATAACAACACCATAAAACAATTATACAAAAATCATGTACATATTTTGACAGTTCTAAATAATACATATATACTTGATTTTACTTTGTGGAAAAGTAAATTTTGACAGTTTTAGATTGTGACTGGCTGCAGCTGGGAAAAAAAAAAAAGTCTATTTTTCACCAGTAGGGCAGTTGGAAGTTTGAGAGTTTATCAGATTTATAAGAGACTTATTGTATGGGTAAGCCAGTAAAGCTGTTCCAGAGATGACGACTGGAAAACAGCAGCACACCTAATGTCTGCCCTGTATAGTGCTGCTTTGACAGAAGGAACAAGGAAATGCAGGTCCAAAGAAACCTGTTTTTTTCTTTTGGGGTGGTGGAAATCAAGCTACTAAACATGAGCCAAAAAAGAGGAGAAGTACCTGCAATGGTTTATTTTCCCCCGTGGCTGCTGGAGCCATTAGTGTAACAGGAAAAATTTAAAACCAAACTGTAAAAGCCCCACTCTTTTCAATTCAGCAACATACTACATTGTCATTGATGAGATTACAAAATTAAGAAGAGCTAAATACTTGGGATTTCGGGGAAGGGTTAGGAAGGGGAGGAAAAACATTGGGGAAAAAAGTATTTTAGCTCCAAATGAATTTTACAATCTCAAAAAAAACCCAAAAAACCCAGACATTACTATGATGACTGAAGTACCAGTTTGCCTTCATTGAGAAACACCATTAAGATATTTCAGATGACACTGGTTAAAAAGTGACAGAAGCCTTCAGCTTCAAAATACAAGAATTCTTCTTCTTAAGAAAAAGTTAAATACTCAAACTGGACCACTAGATTAAGAGGCTATTAAAATACAACCACGAGGGTCAAAGTAATCTATGTAGGTGTAAAGAGAGGCTATTTTAAGTATGTAAATGAATAGCTAATTGTGGGTACTTGCACAACACAGTAAAGCTTCCAATTGCTTGACCGGACCTGCCAAGCATTGATATGGCAGAAATTCTGTTTTACATTATAGGTCTCAGTTTTGTATCAGAGTATCTACAGTTATTCCTTTCTATATTTCCTTTGGAATTTAAGAGATTACGAGTTTGGGGTTTTTTGTTTTGTTGGGGTTCTTTTTGTGTTTTTTTTTTTAAATTTTTATTTTGGGGATCTAATATTTAATGAAGGCATATGCAAGTACACACAAGAGAAGTGTATAGGTATCTCAGTTTTAAAGGCATGTTTTTCCTCTTTTTCATACAACCAACATTCTTTTTTGAAGTCTTGCTTCTCCTGCCCCATGTTACATTCTCTACTACAATTTGTTATTCAGTTGTGCAGACTTCAAACACGGATATGTAGTGCAGCATTAAGGAATTTCCTGAGTCAGGTTTATTCATCATTATCTGTAAAAAACAGGAGGGGGAAAAGACAGGGTGAAAAGGAGTGACAAACACACACACAAAATCAAGCTGGGGGGTCACAAAACTAACTAGAAACCACAGTTTAGTAAGCAAGAATTCACTAAGTCAGTCACCAATGAGGTGACTGTTACCAAAATGCCCTGAAAGGACTATGTGTACAAATACAGAACAACGTGTCCTCTTTCTTGGATTAGAGAATTTAAGATAGTTTCATCTCAAGTGGCCTACTTCAGTTAGAACAATCCTCTAAAAGCAATATGGATTTATTTTCTAACTTTTCTTATTTGAAGACTATTAAACTTTTGAGACAGAAGCTCATGAACATGCTTCCGACTGTCACTTGTCCTCTGTTCACCTTTATTAGCATAGGATTTTTTCTTTAAATGTCTGAAATTTAACTGAAATGCAGTTCTTTATGTACTTTAATACTAAAGTACTACATGTACTTTAGATGTCTGAAATGTAAAAATTACTTTTTCTTTAAATTTTTGTGTGCTACCACAGATTCGTAAAATACAGAAGTAGAACTGAAGCTATAGCTGCTTGTTAATCAGCATTTTGCAAGATGAAAGTCAGCTCATTTTAATAGGATTCACTCAGACAACAGCTTACAATTTGAATGCCAACATTTCAGCAATTTGTCATTTAAGCCTTTTAGTACTAGTTTTAAAATACCCTTAAGGCAAAGTGGCAAGGAGAGGAAACTGATAACACTATAAGTTACCATTTTCTTCTTTTTCTATATTGCCAGTCCTTTGGACACTTGAAAAATTAACTACTACAATATATCTTTCCAATTCTGTCATTAAATCAATAAATTGTGGTTGAAAAAATATTTTTCTGACACTTTTCTGTCATACTTCTATAACACAGCATGAAACCAACATGGTACTGGTTATTCTTACTGAGTCATTCTATATCAGTAGCAAAGAATAATTGGGAAAATGTAATTTGTATTAGAAATTAATTTTTTTAAATTATTACATTTTTAAAACTAGTTTTTAAGACTTTTTTCCCCTCAAGTATTTACATATAAAACCCATAGAAACTATGATCTTATTTGACCCTTTATTCACTGCTATTGCAACACATTCGTAAAAGAATTTAAAAGATCCAGAAAGCAGATGTTGGTTAACATGCATTAGAATATTTTTTCAAAATTGAAATACATTAAATAGTGATCATTGCACACATTCCTAGAGTCTATATATAATGCTTCTGATTTCTGTAAAAATAATTGAGATTTTAGATTTCTTTTTTTCTTCTCTCCAGTAAAGACTTTCATCATTAGAAATTTAAGATTACATAACTGCAGTTACAGTTTTGACAGAGAAAAAAAACCCAAAACCATTTTTCACTGATAGTGGTCTGTGTGGTATTTCATGGAGTGACTCTGAAAGACCTAGGAACTATCTGCCTGCCGAGTAATTTGTGCTAAGCTAGGTAGGGCTCCCAAGCAAGACAAATTCTCTTCAAGTATTACTGAGCCACCTGAAAACTAAGATGGATGGTACCTCTACATCAAGTTCTTCTGAAAAATGACAATTATAGGATAAAGAGCCATGTGAAGTTTTCTTTTCAGAAAAGTAGTGATACTGCAACCCATTAAAGTAGCGTTTTGGAAAGAAAAATATTATTTTAGCTAAAAATTCATTCATTCTTGAGGTAAAATTGTTTTTAATTCTGCAAGTTTTATTTTAGACTTCCGTCTTCCCAATCTGCGTAACTGTTTTACACACGTTAAATAATTATATTGCACCTTTCATAAGGCAACTATTGTTGCAGTGGGCTGTACATGTACATACTGTTAAATGAGAGTGGTCAGCATGCTTAATCAAAGTTTGCCATGTTTTGTTGCAGGAATAAAGATACCCCTTGTGAAAAAACCCCACATTTTTATCAATTTAGCCAATCAATATAACAAAGCACAGATATGTTTTAAAAGTATATTAGAACCTATTGTATATGACCAAGGAAGAAGATAAGACAAACCATAATTGCCAGGAAACAGGGAGATTACCTTCTTGGTAGGCTCCGTCTGCCATTACTAGGTGAAGTATTTTGGCATACAGGTGTTTGTGTTCATTTCCAAGAACAGTCTGAACTATGGTTGAACAAATATCAATATTTTCGTCTTCATCTTCATGTATAGCCTGGGAGAAAAGACAGTCCATGTTGCCAACACTGAAACAGGTATAGAATGAAATAGTTCCAATATATTAAATGCAATTCCTGGTTAAACCCAAAGCTCTCCTCTTTAATCCACTGGCATGGCATTTTCTCTGTTAATATTTTAATGTGTCAAAACAGATAAAAGACTAAAGAAATAAGTGCTGATTCTAGTCACACAATACAATTAATTACTGGCACAGTAAACAGCCCCAGGTACTTGTTTCTTAAAATATTTTACACTTGAGGTCATTCCACAAACCTTTATTTTCTCATAAACTTCAATGAATTTATCAAAGCCTATTTCCTGCTCCAGGTTATATCTCAACTCTTCCAAATGACTGAAGATACTATCACATTCCTCACATTCACTGGCAATCTCTCCATCACTATTATCTAGAAAGAAAGAAAACAGTAAAAACTCCTCAGTTTTCTCACATTCTTAATGTTGTTTCTATGTCCCTAAACTTGATATCTACACAGACTTCTAAACATAATGAAAGCAGGTATGCTCAGGAGCACTAGACCATGTTGGCAGATGTTCTGAACAACTTGCAAGGAAATAGGAACTGTCCCTTTCTTGACAGCAAAGAAATTCTGAATCTCAAATGGGAAGCATTTTGCTATCTCCTCTAAAGCCCCACTCTGATGGTTAGCCAAAAAGGTATTCATACCGAAGGAAAACAAGGTATGGTCTTAAAGCAGGCTTTTATTTACCAATTGTATTGGGTTTGCGTGGCCGGAATTTGGGGGGGAGGGGCGGGGTAGGTGGGTTGTCTACAGGGGTGGCTTCTGTGAGAAGCTGCTAGAAGCTTCCCCCGTGTCTGACAGAGCCAATGCCAGCCGGCTCCAAGACAGACCCGCCGCTGGCCAAGGCCGAGCCAATCAGTGACAGTGGTAGCACCTCTGTGGTAACAGAGTTAAGAACAAGGAAAAAACTGCTGCAAAACCAGCAGCGGTGACAGCGGTCACCCAGGTCAGTGAAGAAAGAGGGGCAGGAGGTGCTCCAGGCGCTGGAGCAAAGATTCCCCTGCAGCCCATGGAGAAGACCATGGAGAGGAGCCCAGGCTGGAGCAGGTTTGCTGGCAGGACCTGTGACCCCGTGGGGGACCCACGCTGGAGCAGTCTGCTCCTGAAGGTCTGCACCCTGTGGAAGGGACCGACGTAGGAGCAGTTCATGAAGAAGTGCAGCCCGTGGGAAGGACTCACGTTGGAGAAGTGGAGGACTGTCTTCCATGGGAGGGACCCCACACTGGAGCAGGGGAAGAGTGTGAGGAGTCCTCTCCCTGAGCAGGAGACATGTGATGAACTGACCACAACCCCCATTCCCTGTCCCCCGAGGCGGGAAGAGGTAGACAAATCAGGAATGAAGTTGAGCCTGGGAAGAAGGGAGGGGTGGGGGAAGGTGTTTTAAGATTTGGGTTTATTTCTCATTACTCTACTCTGATTTGAATGGTCATAAATTAAATTAGTCTGTTTTGCCCGTGACGGTAACTGGTGAGTGATCTCTCCCTGCCCTTATCTGACCCATGAGCCTTTCACTATATTTTCTCTCCTCTGTCTAGATGAGGAGGGCACTGACAGAGCAGCTTTGGCGGGCACTTGGCCTCCAGCCAGGGTCAACCTGCCACAGCAATGTTCGTAGGTCGAGTTCCATACGACCATTCCACCGATATCTGCGGTGGAACTGATGCAGTGTTCAGTGGCTGTCCCACACTAGGGAAAAGAGCTCCTTAATGAAGCAGCTGTCTTCTGTCAGAAACTAAGGATGTGTATATTAAGAATCACTTATTTAATTTCTGCACTGAGATGCATCTTGTTCCATGGAGTGAGTCTAAATCACCCAGTACTCATTTAGCTACAAGGTTCCTCATTCTTTTATGTGTGTATCTCCTTTGTGTAGCAAATTCAGCATGCCAAGTGGTGCAATAAGATACGTGAGAGAAATCAAGATGATTTTGCTTATAGGCTACAGAAACCTTACAAAGAAGTTGGTAGCAGTCAAACATTAGGTAAGTTCAACAAGCAAAGGATCTATTTAAAAATACAAGATAGAATCCCTGTGTAAAATCCTATTATAAAATGCAAACTGCTTTTGCCCAAGAAAAATACTTGCTTAAATAAGTATTTAGATTATGAAAGGACTTACCTACCCAGGGAAGAACATACAACTTTTTAGATTTCAGAGCTTATATTATTAAATATTTTTTAAAAAATACATAGTATTGCCTGGTAGGTCACAGACTTCATGAGTCAGTATTAAAACTACTACCTTCAATTCCTATATATGACTAGTGTAAGGTATAATACTGATCAAACCATATCCCTGTTTCAACTATCAACAGTCACATCAATAAGAAGTTATAACTGAAATAAAAAGAAAAGTTGTATATGGGTTAAAAACCCAATAGATGACTTCTAATCCTGTTTTTAACTTCTGGATTTTGAACAGATTTGGGCCTGTTCCCTTGAGTTTTGAAGGCCTTCCTCCCACCCCCAACAATGAAACCCGCAATTCTTACAAAATATCATGAATCTAGAAGGTGGGATGCTGACACCAAATGCCGTAATGCTTGGAGCAACACTGCAATCACAGAAATGAGTAGTATTGTATGTTATCAGTGTATAACATCAGCACTGTCAATAAATGAAAGAAGATGGTATTACTTTTTTTTTTTACCTTAAAATACTTACTGGAATGCGTTATATAGATAATATTGTACAGGTATATTCACAGATTTTCAGTTTGTTTAAAATTGTCTTCAGCAAACCAAAACTACACAAAAGCTATGTTTTATATTAGGTATTGATTTTCTACATCTTTTTATACCTATATTTCTAAATGTACTTTACTTTATGGCAGTAGTAAAATACTTATATTGCAACCAGAATTTAAAAGCAGACCTGAGACTTCACAACACCACTGTGTATAGCTAATGTAAAATGCTAAAAGCAGTAATACATTTTTGTGTCTCATTTTTAGTTTGACTGCATTAATAGCTATTTGTTAATAATTTCACATTCTTTTTGACTGCCTGGTAAATTACTTAATTGTAATGCAAGCCGGATCCCAGATACTCCAGTCATGTCAATTGCTGTTTCTTTTTTATTCTTACACTGCAGTCATGAATTACTCAAAACACGATGGGCACAGAGTCTTTGATATTCCTTGAAGACCAGTTTTATACAGCTAGAGAAAAAGTGACTTAAAATCACTGCCTAACAAATAGTCAACAGTTAATTTGCAACATTGAATGTTGCTTAGATGTTGCCCTTAACATTCAGAAAGTCTAAATATGATCTAATCTTTTTAAACTTATGTATAAAAAACCTATTAATTAGAGCTTTATTTCATTACAAGTATACAATGCAAAAACATTATTCTGTGTTTGAATTGTTGCCATCAATAAATAACTTATAAAACAGGTATAAAAGAAATTATACCTGACTGCCATTCTTCATTAAGTGCACTTTCACTGCTGGGGTTATTTTCATCTCCTCCTTCATCCAGCTCTGTACCATTTGTTACGCACTCGATAACATTAGCCTTCAAAGTAGACTCCTCCTCTTCACTGAATTCCTCACTAGGCTGCTCCCTAAGCAATTGTTCCATTGAGGCCTGGAGTTCCTGCAAATCTGTATCTGTCTCCCCAAACATACTAAAAGAAAGTGACAGGAAGTTTATATAATTAATACTTTGTAAGTATTTTCCCCATAGGAAGAGCTCACTACTTTTGTTAAACCAACAAACTGGAAAACCAATGTGGCTGGAGGGGGAGAGGAAAAAAAAAAAGACAGACACAGATCTTTGTGTCCTCAGTCCAACATGATTACAGCACTGATACCACTGCATCATGCAAGACACAGGAAATAAAGATGAACTTAACAGATACGAGATCATTTCATAAAAAGATGACGATAGGTCCTCAGTTCAACTTTGTTAGTAAGATAATTTCAAAACCTTTGTAGCCGTGCACTATTATAGAACCCTGGCAAGTATAACATTCTCAATCCAGAATAATATGTCTGGAGCAAAAAGAGATCTAGATCTCATCAGAATAGATACACCAGATGATTTTATCTCTACAGGCTACCCACGCTGCAGGGAATAGTCAAGAGCCAGGGTCAGATTTTAAAGCCCCTGAAAGAATTTGGGGGACTTGAAGGACATCCCAATACAACAGTAGGAAAGACAGATAAGCGAGATTCCCAGAACACATGAAGAAAGAAAATATTCGAGAAATCTTTATTCCTAGAAGAGCAGTAGCCATCAATTTTGATCTGCTTCAGCAGAATGCAAGGCACAGAAGCCAGACAAAATTTGGAAAAGAAATTCAGACAGCTATTGTAACCAGTACATCCCATTAGCTTCTCAATTCTCTGGAATAAGACTCAAAGTAAATGGTGATTCAATACAGGATGTTTAAAATTTGAGTAAAAACCCCATGCTGGTATACTGTGTATGATTGGTAGTGTCTAACCAAAAATATTTTTGATCTAAGATGCCTGTTGAAATACTTGATAAACTTACATATCCTCAGAATCAGAGGGTCCTTCTTTGCCTTGCTCATCTTCTGTATCATCTATTTCAAGATTATGCTGATGCTGCACATCTGCTACACTGGGAACATCAACTAAAGTTCTGTACAGTTTGTAAAGATCCGGGAGTGAACATGTTCTCAACATCTGCAAAGGTAAGAGAGAGCCTGTTGGTAACAATACCAAGGACAATCTGAGGTTACAAAATACAAAATGTCCTTTTTCATTTGAGGGTAAATTTTCAAAGAATGATGTGTCCAGCCTAGAAACTCTAAGTGTTGAAAATCTGACATCTTGAATTTGCCTCTCAGCTAAAAGAAAGCATTCCTTCTGACTTTATGGGTTACTGTGATTGAAAAAGCTTTAAGAACATCAGCTGACATACAGATTCTTGTTTTGTGCAAATTTTTTCATTACCTTGATAGCTATCTAAAGAAAACGAACATTGCAGTGGATAAATAATATATATATATACGCATTTGTTTACAATGTATGTATGTCAATCACAGCTTAGAACCATTTTAAGTAGCTGACAAAGGAATAGTTTTTGAAATGACATTTTATTATTTCTCTGGGTTGCTCACTGAAAATAGTAACTTTTGTTTATAGTGTATTTCAAGGCAGTTCCATAGTATTAGGAAGACATTCACTAGAAGAAGTATTAGAAAGAAGTTCAAATTACAACATTAATTTGTTGCAATGGAAATAAAGCAACATGGAAACAAAGTAACTGTTTGCTCAGTGATCTACCAGATCTCTCTCTTAAGAAGTCTAAGAGCTCCAAAAGAATACTAAATATTCACCACAGTATTAATAAAACAAGAAACAAGGCCTAATCTGCACTAAGAAATTTTACCAATAAGCCTCACGTTCCTTCAGCATAGCTCTGAAAACATGCATGTTCAGTGTTTGCTCCTAATGAACCTCCCTAAATTTCAATGAAAAAAACAGTTCCTCAGCTGCAATTTACACCGGCACAGTGTATTCATATACGTGCTCAAATATCAAATCTCTGTCAGCATATGGCCAGAATAGTATTGCCAAAGGAGTAACCACCCTTTTTGACCACCACTACCAAAGTGAAGAAACAATTAGAATACTGACTTTACTCCATCATTTGAAAGTTTCCAGGTATTTTGAAAAATACTTCTTTTCCTATTCGCCTTCTGTTAGCATACAGACCTGCCTGCAGATAGGACACTAACTGTCTGCTCTGCTCCCTGCTAAAGGTGTCCTTAGTCTCCGGGTAAGAGCTGGAGCAGAGGTATATTTGGGAAATTCCATAAAGTTACATTTGCAGATACTGCAAAGAAGTACTGAACATCCTCTTGTTGCAACCAAATGAGGAAAGGAAATGTGTTGCTCTCTTTCATCAAGTTTACTGCAGCAGTAACACCACCACATCTGTTGCTTTTCTCCAAGTTCTCTGCTATTATATAGAGCTCATCTGGTACTGCGTTAACAATACTGTGACAAACGCTTCTGGCTAAAACACATGCCAAATATCCAGGAACAAGTGACACACTGAAACAGTTCATATTGATACACTGAAGAACTTCCTTATAAAGCATATCCATTACTTTCTAAATCTGATAAGGGTACAAAGAATGTTCATTTTCCCCCTACTCGCAAGTTACCTTTTCTGTAGCCATTGTCTAACTGCCAGATAAACAGCTTCATAAACTAGGGAAGCTAATGACAGACAAACTCTTGAGGAATCAAAATTAGAGTCATAAATCTGTTTCTGTGAATATAAGGATCTGTGAAAACAGATGCAAGCTCGTCAAGAAGCCTTATTTTCCCACAGATGCAAACAGCACTATCCCTGATATTATATGTCCTAGCAATGCATCAACCAATAGATATTATTCAATGTTCAGTTAATCGTTAACAGTGCAACTTCTTTTATGCACTCTCAAAAAAAGGCTGGGAGTCAAAAGATGAAACATTCTTCCTTATGTGGCATTCCATCACCTAGGAAATCCTTTACTACATATTGACTGAATGCAACGCAAGTGTCCAAGTTTCCACAGAACCATTGTCACCATTGTTTGTCCAAAAAGTAGCTGCTCTTTTATGCACTTTCCACTTTAGAACCCAGGCAAGTATTGCACGTAATTTAAGAAGCCTGTTTCATCTACTAGTTCCATAACTATTCTTAAAATATTTTAAATTTGTATCAAAATCACATTCCACCATCCTTTGCTCATTTTATGCGCTGCCACTCAATTCTATGTAGCTGGTCAGGAAACACCTTCAAGAAAGCAGTTAGTTCCATTCACTCCTCTTCAGTCTTCCTGTTTCACAGCCAGAACCTGCACTAGCTGGTTAAATCCTACAGGAAAAAACCCAATCACTTGGTTGCCAGAAATGACAAGGCACCTTTACTGATCTGTTCAGTGTTTATGTTTATGATGGCAAGGTAGCAATAAGTCTGAAAAACTGCACAAAGGGGAGAAAGCAGGTAGGGGAAGTTAGGAATTTCCTCATGAATTCCCTTAGTTATGTCTCAGAGAAGTGGTGGCATTTCTCCACAAACACACGGCCATAGAATGACGAAACCAGAGACTCTCACTGTAGCGCAAGTCCTCCTGATACAACAAGCACAGTGCAGTCATACTGCAGGGCAGACATGGCTAGGCAAATACAAACACTTGCTGAAACAGTTATGCCATCTCTTTTGGCCTCATTCAGCCTCAATAACAAAATAAGAATAATACTACTATGGAAAAACAAGTATTCCTTTTGAGTTTTTTAAACTTGCCTTTGGGTCGTTTGCATCAAAAAGCCCTGTAGAAAGTCCAATCAACAGTGAACTTTTGCCTTTATTTTTTGCTGGTGATATGGAACGTGAACGAGGTACAAAAGGCTCTTCCTGTGAAGACTGAGCTGACAGAACTGGTGAGGCTGTTGGTACAGCTGTGGGCTGTATTACCCTCTGGAATAAGGGTTCAGGTTGCACAGAGTCACTGGAACAAGTTTCTGATGTGGTAAAAGAAAGTCCGTTACAAATCTAAATAGATTAAAAACCCCAAAGTCTTAAGCAAAAGGTAACTAAAGTGAATAAACCTAACTCATTTCTGTTGTGCAATTGAAGGGGAAAATAGATAGTGCTGTAAAAATTATTAAAATGTCTTTGGATTATTTTAGTAAATACATTATAAAATTAACTTTCAACTTTTTGAGAATATACAGCCCTCAGCTATAGCCTGTTCTGTTCTCATGCCTTCTAGTTTCTCGTTATCCAGTTCATGCCTGAAATTATAGTGTCATCCATTTTCATCTGTTGCTCCTTGCCTTAAACTAGATTTCTTCAAAGCTACCTCAACATAATCCATGCAAACACTGGAAATAAAACCCTCAGTTTGCTTAAGCCACCCAAATATCACCAATGATATCTGACAGTATTGCCAATGTATTTTCTATTCTACTGTAAAATATGCAGACCTTCAGAAGTTACTTCAAAGATCTCCAAGAGCAAGCAATTCTTCTATGCAATAAAGATAATATTTTATCATTAGCAGCTACTTAAAACATTATTTTTCCCAAGCTGCAGCTTAATATTGAGATGTCTATAAACAAAGCAATACTTTTATTAAGTATTTTTTAAAAGGTTGTAACATTCAGAAACTTGACATTCACTTTCAAGTATCAGTGTGGGCCGCTGCCCTGTTCACGTATACATAGCATAGCTTTGTTGTTACATGTTTTCTTCCAAACTGGCAAAAATAACAATTTGTCTTCCTAATCCATAGGAGATTTGCTTTTTTGAAGTATGAATTAAAAAAGAAAATGAAAACAGAAAATGTGCTCTTTCAGGGTTAGTGAAGAAGTGAGAAGGGGTGGCTCAAGTATTCCATGCTGCAGCTACGATAAACAAAACAAGAGACTTCAACTGACCTGGAGCTTCCTTTTGTGGATGCACCTTGTCAAGTACTAGTTTCTCAGAAGCTGCCTCATTGTCATGTTGTGACCTATTATAAAATACCACATCCAGGGGAAACACCGTGTAAAAATATTCATTAGTCTACTGGAAACCATCACCAAGTGCAGTAAAACTAACATGGTAGACAAGCAATGAAGCTTTAGCTAAGCTTAACATTTTAATTGATGTATCTAAACCCTACTCAGTTAAAGCTAGTTGTTTGAACTGGAAAGAGGGATAAGAAGAAGAGAGTACTTACTTATCCTCTTTCTCTTTTACCCACACTTCATTAACAGTGATGGGAAATTCCTTACTCTCCTTACTCTGGTGCTTTTTATCTTCTGTTTCTTCCAACATCTCTGCTTCCAAATCATCAGGCTCTAAAATTAATAAAGTCATATACCTTATTAAAAATTAATCCCCATCAAACAAAATGACAGAGGAGAGACTACGCATCTTGAGATTACACTTAAGTCCTTCAGCTTTAATAATTTTCTGCATTTTGCAGAAACAACTGAAGTTTTGCAACCCCAGAGTTAAAAGTTTGTTTCTGATACAAGAAAAGTATCTTAAAGCTCCAACAAACTATGTCTTCTAAAAACCTCAGCAGCATTCCCCCAGACATCAGCAGAGTGCTGGTATCATATAGGGGAAAGGATTCCAACACAATTGATGGGGTGAAACAAAGAAAAAAAAAAAACCCCAAACACAATCAAAAATTTGAAGCACTTTAGAATTCCACTTGTACTTCAGAGAGTTTTCTATAAGCCACAAAAAAAGGTTTCTGGAAACTTACAAAATACGTTAGTGAATCAAATTACAACACAGGCATAGAAAGCACTTGGTCCTACTTAAAAGGTGGTAAAAAAAGCTGCACATTACTTATGGGAAGATACAAAACTATACAGGATCATGACTTCCCTCACTGAATTGGAAAACAGACTGTAATTAGAATTACTAATGAAATAACTTACCATCCAGCATAACAGGTTGGTTCTGCACCTGGGTAGGTCCAGCTCTTTGAGATTCTTCTGATATAGTCACGTCAGACTCTGGGACACCAATTGGTACTGAAGATTGAGCTCCAACAGTAAGAAGAGCTTTCTCTTCCTTCTTCTCTTTTACAATTACAGACTGATGATCTCCTTCAAGAAGTTCTGCAGTACCTAACACAAAATTATTCCATTATTTAAACAGTGCTTTAACAGTTTGATAATAAACTACAATGTGACTACAAGGTAAGTTGAGAATTTTTGTTTCATTAAAGGAAAACTGAATAGAAAAGTTTGCATGCTTTTATTATAACTATGATGAAGAAGAAAACAAGAAATATTAAAATTTGAATTTTACTTGCTACATTATCATTAGTAAAAGTTTATACTTGGAATAAACATAAGTCCTTTAGTCCTTGGAAAGGACAAAAAGCAGGAGCTGACCAGAAAAAAATAATCCATTGATACGGTCACATGCTAACAAGAAGGCTATAGGACCTATGTAATACAATATATAGGACCTATGTAATACAGTATTCAGTTGACGACATCCTGTTAAAAACCAGACTGTTTCTATCAAAAGTGCAAGACTTTTCAACAAAGTGAAGATCCTTCCCTTTCCGTACACCCCTCTTAATTTCTTACCACTTCACTGAGTTTGAAATATTTTTGTGTCTTCCAGTATCAGCTTGTGCTGACATTTAGAACATTTAGAACTGAGGCAACACCCAGAAGCGGAAAGCAAGAGTGAGGATAGAACATGCTTCTGTGACTTCAAAATTGTTTTCAGTAAACAAACCGGCAATCTGGCACTTCCTACACTTGCAGTGCAGGTAATTAACAGGTGTGGTTACCATTTATTACATCTAGTTCCTCGAGTAGGTCAGTATGCAGCTGCAACTCTGCTTCTCCTAGGATCTTCAGGACTGAATCAGTAGGGCTTTTGCCCCAGACTTTCCTGTGGGGTTCACCAATATCTAATCTAATTACTTCCCCCAGAGTTTGTCCTGTTGGGACACAAACACAAATAGAGAAACTTTTAGAAATTAGGAACTTTTATTCACTTTCTATATAATGAACAAACAAACAACCTCCACAAAAGTAAAAACTACAAAGCCAGACTCACGCCACCTTCACCCCAAGTCAAGACAGCCTAAAGAGTGTCCTCAAAAGTCTAAAGGTTTTCTTCTGCCGATTCCATTTAATAACCAGAGTTATTCAGCGCCAGTTATGATCTGCAACTTAATAGCAGCAGGAGATCTTTTCAGCAATTCAGGCACTCCAAAAGAAAACTACAGGAAAGGTTTAAAATTGGCATGACATGGCCTTAAATTTACCTGAAATGGGAAACTAGAAAGTCTCTTGTCCTGCTATCCTTTGACATTTGTTTCTGTTATTTTTCCAAGGAAAACAGAGGATATCAAGCAACAAAGAAAAATAGAGCAAAAGACAAACTCTCTTTATCTAATATCCTAGTCGTGTAACACTGCTATGCTATGAAGTAAGTCTGTCACATTCTCCATGATTAATTATTTCTACAATGTGAAACAGACCCTTAGTAAGACATATTGAAACCAGGAAAAAGGTCTTCCACTCAAAAGACCAGGCAAGGCAGACAGAAAATTTAAAAAGACAGGCTTGATTTAGAAAAAAAAGAAAAAAAGCTAAGATTGATGAAGGGCACAATAAAAGTAACAGATATAAATGGAGAAAACCCTCAGGTTTTATTTTTTTACTGATAACATAAAAGGATTTTGAAGTGAAATAAGAAACTTTCATATATTTTAACTGTTTTTATTCTTTCTGTTAAATTAGTGCCTATTTAAGAAACAATTACAAAGAAAGCTCAAAGAAAGTAACCATGCATTTAATCAGGTAACTATTTGCTGAAATTAGGGAATTATTTGTTGAGTCTCCTGCAGACCAATTAATTACTCAGCCTGTGCCTTATTCTTTATCCAAGGGAATACATAACCACCTGTTTTTCAGAAGCAGATGACACACAACCAGCAACAAGATGATAATAATAAAGAGTACTTGCTTTATAAAATCTGACACTACACATGGTAAACTGATTTACTAATATCACAGTGACAAAAAAAAGTACTTACTGTCTGTTCCGGACAGAGAATCTTCCATTGATAACTGGGCTAAAGGAACTACCAACTCAGATGCCCCAGGGTCCCATTTTTTGCGATCTCCTATAAGTGGATGGTCACCTCCTCCTTGTTCCTTACCATCCTCAGACCCAGCTGAATCAGAGATATTTTTACACTCCATTTTTTCTTTCTCATCTTCTTGAGCTTTAAGATTTTGATTTAATCTTCTCAGTATTTCTCGTTTATTCTGAAATAAGGGTCAACATATATCACTTAAAATAGTACCTTTCTAAAAAGAAAAAAAAACCCTAAATGAAACCGAATAAAATTTGACATACTTGCATTGCAAAATCTGGCTTTTTTATTTCCACCTCAGCTTCCTGGATGGCAGTTACATTTTCATCCTTCAAGCCCAAGAAGCATGAAATACAATGTAGAAGGACATGTCAGAAAAAAATAATCTTGAGAATATTAATAGATGTAATAGTGACAAATCACCTCTAAAACCTTTTCATTGACAACTGCACACAGAGTGAAACAGAACATATGATACTTCTGTTTTATGGGGCTTCCCAAAGACAGAATTTCAAAGGCAGTTTCCGTCTTTGAACGTTCACTATCTGAAAGTGATAAGCAAGTGAATCAGACTCAGTCTAAGCAGACAAGTGAAAGTTCAGAGCATGAAACATGCAGAGATAAAGCTAGGTATGACTTCTACAGCAAAATGCCACCAAACTCCAATGCTAGAAATGAAGTAATTCTGTAAGAGAACTAAAAAGTGGCAAGGACAGAGTCAAGGAGCATCTGTGAAGAAAAGCAGAAAGGAAAAGAGACAACTTTAGTGATATGTAAAATAATCAAACTAAAAATTGAAGGCAAAAATGTAGAAATTATAATCTTTGTGTACAAGGCTTGTCTTCTCCAATTGCTCTGTGTACTAATTTTTAGTTATAGTCACCATCTTGCATTACTGTAGACAAATTATCCACATGGAAAAAAATGTGCTAATGATTTAAGTGTTTGTCAAAACATGATTTGTTCATTTTTCCAGCTATCAACTGACATCTTTCAGTGTATTACATTTTATATATGCTATTTAGCAGTAAGTTTCACTATATTCCCACAGTCATAGCTTTCAGGGTTGTATACAGTATATAATCCCACACTACACTGAAATCCAGAAATAGCTTGGGTAAACCCACAAAAGTTAGCATCCAAATTAACACAGACTGTGTTAAAAACTGAAACCGTACAATGATTCACTCATATGCTCAGTTTCACAATTGTTACTTAAATCAAATGGTGGTAGTCATGGTAAATGTGTAAGCATTTACAGTATCAGGATCCAAAATCACAGAAAACAGAAATCAGGAAGCCTCTAATACTGTTTTAGACAAGGAGAAGAGACAAAACTATCAGATTCAAGACTCTTAAACTTTATATTCTCTGTTAGATTCAGCACATATTTTCAAACTCAAGAATTAATATAAAATAGTCCTACATTCAAAATATGTTTTCTCACTTCCACCACGTTACAAACTCCTTAACTCCCCTCTTCAAAAGGCAGATGAAAATGCTGGTTAGTTGATGTCTTCTTCTACTAATCATGACTGCCTTGATCAAAATTGAAACTGCAGCCTAGGGTTCATCGTAAGCCATTTTGTTCAAAACTGACTGAAATTGAGTTTCAGTGTACAGAGGTATTTCAGCAGCTTCCAAGTTTTGGGTTCTCTTTTTTTTTTCCCCTCCTCGTTCCCTAATTAGAAGAAACAAGTATCCTCAATGATTTTTTCTACCTAATCTACACATTCTTCTAAGAATTCTTTTTCAAATCAACTTTTTTTTTTTTTTTCATTGATTTTACCCTCTTAGTAAAAGTACCTACCACACCCACTTCCTTCAAAGCAGAAGTCATAGAGATGACCGGTGTCCCGGCCTTTACTGGAAGCTGTGGCTTAGGAAGAGCTGCTCCAGGCTCTTGCATTCCATGTATAGGACTGTGCTCTGTAGCTCCCGCATGAAAAGGCACATTAGGATTCTTTACTCCTTTCGCTATCAGCTGCGTAGATTTAATTACAAAAAATTATATCAACAAATTACCTTTAAGACTTTTCACATTAAACACAGTATTATCAAATAGGCTCATGTAAACCTTAGAAAAGCACAATAATGCCACATTTTCACACAGAAGACAACTGCCAACTGCACGTGAACTATTTCCAGTTTATGAGCTTCATAACATCCTGGGTTTTGTAGCGAAATATTACTAGTTGGACTTCTCACTCCACAGCACACAAAAGCAAAAGAAGATTAACTTTGGTAAGTTACAGATCATTAATAAAATACTGGAGGTGATCCTAATGAGTCTTAGGTTTGACATGCTTAAATTCTCATACCAAATTCTTCATTTAAGTATACCTAAGATTAGGCTGCTAATAAGGGAATTCTGAGAGATGCTCTCCTCAGTTTCAGAGAACAAACTAATTATCTAAGCTTGAAAAATCACAGTATGGAATTTTAGTTATACAAAGATATTGCACTACATACTTTCTGTGCGTAACAGATTTATTTCTTACATGTTCTTCCCAGGCTCTTTTCTCTCTTTCATATGCCTCCTTTCTCTTTCGCTCTAACTGTTCTTTCAGAACTGCAGCTCGAGCATTTGCTTGGGCCTATAGTAAACAAAGAAAGAAAAAAGACCAACTTAAAATCATGAAAAGCATTAGTACCCCATTCCATGGAACAATTTAAAAAGAAACATTCTTGGATTACTTCATCCTCCTTCCTCTCACCTATTACTGTGTAAACTGTGAAAGGAGGACTCCACTGACAATCAAAATCACCACACAAGTATAACAACTGACCTTCTAGGTTGAAAATAATGGCAACTTCTCAAAATTTAATTACACACCTTGATTTGCATGGTTATATTGTTAGTGTACTCTTAAACAGAGTAATGTAAAATTAAAATCTCCATTTAAAATTAGTTTTGAAGCCAAATGTATTAATCACAAAATATTAAATATTCAGTTTAAACTTTACATCCTTACTCAACATAAACACAAAAAGCTTCAGTTGCTTTTTCACCTCTAGTTTTAAAGTTAGGCATGAGGTTAGCTTGTTTTCACATTGCTCTTTGCAGATGATGGGGAAAAAAACCCCATAGAACAGATAGAGTAATACTCGCTATGCATTGTATGGTACAGATAGTTATTGATATAAGAACACCACATGGAATAAAGTTCCAATCAAACATTAGATTTCTGTGCAACACATTTGCTTTAAATGTACTTCATCACAGGGGTATATAGCTCACTTTCCAATCCACATGCCAGCACATGTAAGGAGTTTCACCTTCCTTTATTCTTTTAACTAAAATAAAGTTGTTATTTAAGGTACATCTTCCTTCCCCTTTCAGTATCAAAATGCTATTTTAGTTATACCAAATTGCCTTTGGGACTAAAGGGAACTCAGAGAAAAATCTAAAAGACAAGGATGGGAAAAATCCTTGACTTGCTATGCTATGTCACACTATATTTGAAAATTACTGAGATTGAACAGTTGAACAGAGTTGTTGCCTCAATGCAGTTAAAATAAAAACCTCTTGTAGTGGATGTATGAACAAACTACTGATAGCAAAATGAAATGTAAGAAACTTCATGCAATATGAAAGAAATTTGAAAAGAGTAAGTTCCATCTCCTCCCTCCTCACAATTACCTTCTGCGCTTCTATCTTTTTGCGTTTCAGTTCTGCTTCCTCACTTGATTCTTGTCCATCGGAACTGGCAGCTTCATTCTGCAAAGCAAAAGTCCTCAAAGAATTATCATTAATTCATGTATTTAAAAGCTTAGTGATATAAGCAACTAGTCAGATCATTTGCACTGATTGTATGATTAACATGGATCATAATTTCACTAGGTAACTCCTCACTCAAAAGTAATGTCTACTTGGACAGAACTTCATCTTTGAGATTTGGAGGGGGAGGAAGGGTTTTGTTTGGATGTGTTTGGTTTTTATTTGTCTGGTTTGTGGGGTTTTTTTCTTATTGTTTTAAAAGATATGAAGCTTTTACAAGCCAGGAGGAAAGTAATGTGCCTACTATTGCACAGGAAGTGATGAAATGATGCTGGGCACTCAGCTGCCACCCCTCATCACTGCTGCATGCTCTGCAAGTACGGCATATGTCCTGGTTTCAGCTGACAGAGAGTAAATTTTCTTCATAGTAGCTAGTACAGGGCTATGTTTTGGATTTGTGCTGGAAACAGTGTTGATAACACAGGGACATTTTTGTTATATAGACATGTTCTTGTTGTTGTTGAGCAGTGCTTACAAAGAGCCAAGGCCTTTTCTGCTTCCCACACCGCTGTGCCACCCCACCCCACAGCAGGATGGCTGGGGGTGCACGAGAAGTTGGGAGGGGACACAGACAGGACAGGTGACCTAAACTGACCAAAGGGATGTTCCATACCATACAACATTATGCTCAGTTTATAAGGAGTTTGGGGAAGAGGAAGCGGCGGGGGGTGGCGGCACTCGGACTGATGGCATTTGTCTTCCCAAGTCACCGTTACGCGTGACAGAGCCCTGCTGTCCTGGGGATGGCTGAACACCTGCCTGCCCATGGGATGTGGGGAATGAATTCCTTGTTTTGCTTTGCTTGTGCATGTGGCTTTTATTAAAGTGCCTTTATCTCAACCCATGAGTTTTCTCACTTTCACGCTTTCAATTCTCTCCCCCATCCCGACAGGGAGGAGGGAGTGAGTGGCTGCATGGTGCTCAGGTGCCGGCTGGAGTAAAACCACAACAGCATACAAGAAAGGCTCTGGAACTCCAGTTTCTTCCACTGTACGTGCTCCAAGGAAGGTGGAATGGGTGAGGGGGGAAATGGTAACAAGTTACTGTTTTCAATCTCTGACTTCTTTCCACAGCCTCTGCATGTTCTTACAGAACAGACTGACAGAGTTACACAAAAAAAGTTCTGTCAGGAACCTTTTATTGTTCATGACCAACTTGCACAGGCTTTTTATTTAAAATAAACTATTTAAAAGGCCTATTTAGTAGGCTTCTTGCAGTATAAGAAAAAGATTATTATTAGAAATAATTTGGCAAAACACAAGCAAGAATTTTAGGTAAATTTTGAAGTGAAAATAAAAAAAATAAGGTCATGCCCATCTTGGCTTCAGTCAGCTAAAAGGAAAAAATGATGACTGTAAAGAACACTAGAGCTAGAAAAACTTCAGAAAAATAATTTGACACTTTTCATACGCAACAGAATACATACATATATTCATCTATTGTATATAAAGTAGGATACTACGCAGTAGTGATAGATATAAAATTGTTAATCAACATAAGGAAATAAACATATCTATGACAAGATGTGGTCTGAGAGGGTGTTCCTCTAGAAGTGAACCTCAATGCTAAAGTTTGCATCCGCAGGTCATCAAGAAAAAAAACCCTTAAACTTGGTCTCTGAATTCTGAAAATTAGTTTAGGCCTACTTCCTGAAAAGATATTAATCTATTCTCTGTTTCTTTGTAGGTGGCATGCCTTCTGGGACATGCAACACTACCCCAGGTAAGGTACAGCCACTGGGAAAGAAAGTTAGGTTCCTGATATGCCTACTAACTCACACAGAGAACTAATGTCATGGTCACAGTAACAGTACTTTTATTTGACTTTACTAGCACAAGCAGCCTTGGCCTCCAGGGAACAAGTTTCTGGAGAGTACCGTTACTTCTGCAGTTAACCATACTGCAGGTAGAGTGTAGGTGCTCCTAATTTTGAGAGAAAGTGTTGCAGCTGCTCAGTGAAAAAACGGAAAGAAATAGTGGAGTACAGCAATGGCTCTACACTGGTAACATTTTAGCACTGTTGTCAGTATTCTAAGGGTACTTATGAGCCACAGTAAGATTTGTTAGGGCTTTGTACGGAGATGACTAATCCCACTGCAGCTGTTTGGAAGCTTGTCCAAAACAGCAAAGGAGACAGAGTTATGAGTGAAAGTAGCACCAAATGCAATTAAGACAATATGTGCTTATGGTGCATCAGCTTAGCATTTTATGTGAGTCAGCAGTAGCGATAAACTTCACTGACTAGCCTCTACAGTAACTTCATAGGCTCACAAGACCTTGATTTTCCTCTAGCTCCTTAACACAAACTTAGGACAACAGCCCATGTTGGTGCCATGCCAGACCTAGCCACTAGCACATCTTATCAAGTTTGCATAGTCTCCTCAGGTATAGGCATACATAACTTTTGCTCTGGATCATTCACTTTACATTTAAAGGGGCATGTGTTCCTCTTCAATGCACTAAAGTTTTGCACCTCATTCAAGGTACTGAATTTGGCTCTCTCGCGTCTCACCAGTGAGATGCAGTCAAGGTTAAAAAAAAAAACCAAAAAAAACCCCAATTCAAAAGAAGTCACTAATACAGAGAAAAAAAGATACAATATTTTAGCATTAAAAAACCCTACAGCAACGCAGAACTCTGTTTAGCTGGGATGGTGGTCCCAGGAAACTGATACTGGGCACGCTCTTGCCTTACCTGCCCATTCACTATACATAAGATGCATGAAAGCACTTAATACGGGTGTTTAAAGGGGAAGGCACAGGGCAGGAACATTTCCCTTGTTTTAAATCATTAAGTACAATGTGAATAAATAATCAGGTAGTCACTTGAGGAAACCCAAACACTCTACTGAGACAACGGACAGGAAGGGGAAAAACAGACAGGAGAACGAAATCACACAATAGGTTAATGAAAAGATGGGAATAAACTCCAGACCATATTTACTACGTAGATCGCCTCTCAAATGAAACTCTTTTTTAAAAAAGTAAATGGATTGCTTCCAAGGGTGCCTCGGATTATTCATTTGACACCTTAAAAAGTGTTCGCTCTGAATCTACTTTATGAACATATTATTTTGTTTTTGTTGTATTATGAGCATATTTTGGAAAAGTGATGTTTGAAAAAAGTGTATTGATTAAATTGAGCTCATGCCAGGAATTTCAAACTTTAATACACACCTACAGAATCTATGAAAAGAATCGCTTCATACACATTCAGCGTGAGCATTGTCAAAAAGTAAATTCTGGAGAAGTTCCTATAACTAAAAGCAAATAAATATAAACGTGCTAGAGTTTGATGAGAAATTTACATGTCAAATTCAGATGTAACCTTACGTTGTCTTATTTTTAAAACATTATTAGTTTACAGGCACTGAAGCTGCACCCCCAGCATTGAAATAACAGATTTTCAATGTTCTGGAAGAAGAGATGGAAGTACACTAACTGTGGAACAGAATTAAATGTCAAAATTATATGTCTATATATAAAACTGCCTATGAGCAAAGTCTTCCTGTGACCATAAAAGAGTACATCCCACAGGCAACTTCCATAAGTATTTAAGATTATTTTTCAAACCAACCTTCTCTCCACGAAGTTTTGCTCTAATCTGCTGACGTTCATTAAAGTTTTGTAGTCGGATCTGTCTTAATCTTGCCAAATATTCCTAAGGCAGAGAAAGAAAATAAGTTTCAGTGTAACTGAAACTGTCTCCAGTATGGTTAACTTAAAATACCTAAGATTCCACAAAAAAATAAGATGGGTGAAAAAAACCCAAACAAAACAAACCACACTATTACTATCACCATATTAGCATTTACTAATCTCCAGAAAAACTCTCGTCTAATGAAAATAAAGACAACTGGAATGTGTGTTTCCCAGTATTAAGCTATCATTTCATTTTATATCATTGAAGGCTAGGAGCGGTTATATTTATCACAACAGGATTAAGATATACGGAGTCACATCTATGTGTATGCACATTCAAGAACCTTTCCGAGACAGACTGGTGTAGACAACTACTATTTTGATTACTTAAAAACAAACAAACAAACAAACAAAACCAAACAGACCTGAAGTCTAGAACTTTATACAGTAAATTATTTCCTAGGAATTTATAAAGTCCTTTTATTTTGTTACACAGATGAACCATGCAGGGAAACTGGGCACAGTCAAGGTCAAAATAGTGCTATTTGCGTGATGAGCAAAGTGGCAAACATGCGGCAAGCATACCTCTTCCTCCTTGTTTCTGGATTTCCTTCCTCTTGCAGAAATGGGCCTGCCTCCATAGATATCTGCCACGTTTTGCAGTGTACCCTGTTTGCCATTTAATGGTATCAAATTTAAGGTGGCTGGGGCAGTAAAATTATCTGCTTTATCCAGTAACTGTTCACTTATAAGAAACCAAATCCATCAATGATCTGCAGTTGTTCTGAAGTTAACCAATAACCCTTTTTCACGTACATGAAACATATGACAGCAGTAACTAAAATCCTGAGTAGCCAAAGAGAGAGACTACAGCTTTAAGAATATAGTTGCCTTCTCCCTGCAATTCTGACTTTCTCCTGCTATGTTAGAAAGCCTAAATTCTGACAGGCATGAGTTTTTCTACATCTGGATTATATACAAATTGTGGCACAGAGCTGGCATTTCTGCCATTGTTGAGCCAAGCCTAAAATAAAAGTGAAATCTTTTTATGTTCTTAGATTAAGCTTTTTCCACAATGATTACTTTTTAAAAACATACTACAAGTAGCAAACTCAAAAATCTAATAAAATACCTTAAATATACATATTACATCTAACAAGTTGTGTTAAATGCCTATTACATATGCATTCACAGTGTACAGTCTTCGTGAGGGTGACGTACTCAGTGTACTGTCACCAAAAGGATTTCAAACTTTAAGGAAGTCCAATACAAAACAGTACAAGAATCACTTAACTCCAGGTTTCCTGCTTGGATTAAAATTCAAAATATTATTTTGTTCATGATATACCATAAGTCTCTGCTGAACAGGTTAAAAATACCTTCATTTGTTAACTCAACATACAATAAAGACAGTAAGCATACATGTGATAGTTACATGGACCTTCTGCCTTATAAAGTATCAGGGCTTTAGCTTTCTGAAACTTATGTGTAGAGAACCATCGGTAAGTAAATACTCCTGTTAAGTTCTTGATAGGGAGGATGAATACAAATATTCTGGTTAAATACTCTCTCAGATTGAGCAAAAAATCAGTAACTCAAGGAAACAGCACATTTCTTTACTCCTGTGGTTTAGTGACTGGGGGATCAGGGAAGAAATTAAAGGAACCATCCTGGGGATAAGAAGTAGCACACATTCATGAGGACTCCATGAATTCTGGTTTCAGCTTGAGCATAAGTCATACAAAATGGAAAGGAATATTTTCCATGTTCACCTTTTCAAAAAATATTTGGTTTTATTTTTAACTTTTTAATGCATATTCCTGAGCTTTACAAAAGCTGAGAACGGATTTTTGAGAACTGATTTTCTTTCTGTAGATTGTTAACTTTCACTCATCTGCCTACACTGAAATTTTCAAAGAGCAGGACTCAATGTTTTACAATGCCACACAGATGTAGTGAAATAGCAAATTAGGTCAGCAGCTGTCTTAAAGAAAAGATGACTAAAAGTATCATCAACTCAACTACTGAGTCAAACTTTAGACTGTCACTTGAAAATCAAAATTGACAGCAACTATATTTAACAGAAGCTGGGTAAATTAGTGCAAGTCATTTGACTTCCAAGTCTTTATACAACAAAGAGCTGCATATTAGTTGATGATTCCTACTGATTTCTCCTCTCAGATCACCACAGTCTGGACAACAGTCCCATTCCTACAGGAGAACTACTGCCAGCTAGACAAATTATTTTCCTACACAAATAGAAGGAAGCTGCTGAGAACTTTTCTGCTATCAATGGCAAATGATAGTGCATGAATTTGGAACCCTGGCTTCCTGTTACAAGTCTTAAACATCTGGAAGTTAGTTTTACAACTGTTCAGTAACCTCTCTGTTTCAATAAGGCAGCCAATTAAGAATAAAATATTCAGGCTCAGCTGAATACATTAGAGAAACCTGAGAAATGTTAATCTGAATACTTGGCTATTTTGCATTAATTGATCTCATACATTCAAATTAATGTCAACGAAGTCAAGAACAAAATGGACACAGGTACTACTAAGGACTTGTCTAAGAAGATGCAGCCTTAACAAGGATTGTTCATTTTTTCAAAATTATTTACTGGTCTTGGAGGTTGCAAAAAACCAGAATCAGAGTCTTAAAAGTGGAAGACTCATGCATTAAAACATATATACTAATCTAAGGATTCTTCACCATCAAGGCAGTGAATCAAAGTATCTAAGAATTGCTTACTGTAAGTGAAATAATACCTGAAACAAAGACGGTCAGTCTAATTTCAGCAGCTGACAGTGATATTGTGACTTTATGGTATAGGAATAGTGTGGAGAAGCACTAAAAAACCCAAACTCTCCACATTATGAAAACAGATAGTTTAACCACACAAAGTCCTAGTGCAAATGAGTCATTTCCATGATATCTGTACTGCAAAGCAAACTTCCTAGAGGAATACTGAATTTAGAACTGCAAGCATAAGGAACAAAGAACACTTTGTGACACTGTCCACTAGTTAATTTCTAAAGAGTAAAGACTTTAGAAACATCAACCCTCACAAAGATGGATGTCTTTATAATACTTTCTCAATAAGCAGAATGTGTTTTTGTAAAACACACTACTGTATCTGATCATGACCTGTATTGGTTTAGTCACACTTCATTTTAGGTTCAAGCTACTGAATACTAAATGAAACTTAATTTTAACCAAAACTTTAAAGCTATGGGCAGAAGAAAATGTAAGTTAATGTTCTAAAATTCACAATGTCAAGTTAAACACATGCAAAAAAAGATATTTTCCTTTGTTAATAAACTTACAATCATCAGAAATGTATTGTACAATTCTGTTGCATTTTAATAAAATCACAACCAAAATGCAAAAAACCTACCTTTTTATTTTTAAATACTTAAGGAACATATTTAGCCAGCAGTTCATGGTTATGATGATACTTCAAAGATTCATAAAGCATGCTGAAACAGTAATATACATAGGAAGACCAGATTCCATACCATGTGTCCTTCAGCTCGAGCTTTGTTTTCCATGGCTTCTCTCTTTCGTTGCCAGAATTCTTCAACTTGCTTTGCTCTATCTGCAGCTATCCATCCTTTTTGCCTGAGTAATTGCAACACATAGCAAGATGAAAGTCTCTGAAAAATTACACTTAAGAAATCCCCCACCTTTATTCTAACTAGGACACATACACCAAAAAAGTAACTTTCTATGAGTAAGGCATCTTCAACAAATGCCTTTCATCAGCCAAAATACAAGTCAGATTTCCACAAAATGAGGAAAATAGGCTCAACTAAGTTAAAAGAACAATTAAAAAACAAACCAACAAACAAACCCAAAACACCATGTTGTCCTTCCAGATCCTGGTCATCAAAACAAAAATTAATGTTAAAACATAATCTTAGTGTGATTATTTCTGAAAATGTCTCGGCTTGTTTCATTATTGTTATTGTTTGTGAGAAAGAAGACTCCTTCAAGATTTCCCTTCAGAGATGAGCTAGAACTCATCACACGAGCCAGTCAGGTCAATACTGCAGCAGCCTTTTAAGACTGACCTACGTTCGGAGTAAGAGCTTCTACCACTTAGGTAATTAGTGCAGTGCTAGTATTCTCAGTGTGTTCTGGCAACTCTTTTTGGGGGATCTTGGGGGATTTTTGTTTGTTTTTAAAGAGACCGTGAAGGAATCTTCCCACATTAGAATTAGCCAGAACAAGATGGTTTTTTTCACATGTTCCACACCAGGTCAGGGACCTGCTTAGGTAGACAAGAAGGCTATGCTCAGGTTACCCTAACAGAGCATTTGGCAAGTCTCCTAGTACATACATACGATCATTTTGTAGAGCATCCCGTTTCTGACAAATTGGTTAGAAGTGGACTCAAAGGAAGCTTTCTATTAAAAAAACCAAACAAACCCAACACTGAGAAATTATGTAAGATATTCTTTGGCAGAACGATGAGGCAATCCCCTTTCCAAGGTTCCCCTAGCCTCGTTGGACTGAGGAGTATTGGTGGTCCAGCAACAGGCAGGAAGAAATTGGAATTAAGTTGATAGCAATAACCCATCAGGCTGAGACAGTTAAAGAAAGAATCATTTTGCGATACAGAAGCTATTGCTAGTAATTCATAAATGAATTAGCACACTAATTAAACATTCTTGCATCTTGTTTCTTCTCTCCCCTCAACTCCTCGCCCCTAAGCAACAAGGAAATCAAATATTTCCATATGCTACAATTCATTAAGAGGAAGACAGAGATAAAACCACTTTGATACAATAAAATAAATGCTGTAGCTGCTGTAAAAAGGCAAGACGATCCACATCGGTGTTACTGGTAAAGAAACAAACACTTAATAATTTTTGTATACACATATTTGACTCACTACAAGATTTTTACTGTAACCGTTCATTACATGTGAACTCAGCTGGTGGATAGTGAAATCTGTCCAAATCTGTGTCCTATAGCTGACATTTAGCTTACAGTGCTGGAGGAGAGGTGCTTCCCAAGCAAAAAAAAACCAAATCAAATTGTCTCAAACCAAATTCACAGCAAAAACTTATTTTAACTAAGTTTTATGAAAATGGTTTTCCCTACTCTAAAGCTGAGTAACTCATTTTGCTAAAACATTTCAGCTAGATTTCTTCTGGGCTACATTTCTGTCCAAGAGACAATTTTTAAAGATTGTTGATGCTGAATATACTTCGCTTTAAGTTAGTTGTGGTAATGTAATCAAAGATTGCAACTTGAGGATTTCTCAACTTCTTTAATATACACTCTAAATTACCTATTTTTAAGAAAGTTGCAACTATTTAAATTCTTTGAGCTAAACATCCTGAACACTTATCTTTATATTTCACCTCCAGCTGAAAGAATGAAGTGCAGGAGAGAAATACTGCTAGGCTAGCTATGATAACAAAATTGCTTCTAGATAATAAAGTACAAATACTTACCACATTTTAAATACTAAGAAACAGCTCCTCAATTTAAGGCTAAAGATAATGCAGTTTATAAAGAGGAAAAAAAAAACTACCTATTTTGAAAGTTCTGCACAGTATTTTCATTGAGTGCTTCCAAGTTCATGTATTTCACAAATACTGAATCAGTTTCTCTTTATGATCTCTATGTTATGCATAATTTGCAGCCCTCTACTATAGCTCCTCTCAATTTTAACACATTTAAAACAGTTTACCCAGGTGTAGCCAAGTATTATTTAATATTGTCAAAAGCATGAGGCAAACTGTTTCCTAATCTAGACAAGACTGAGGATTGTTGCACTTTGTGTGAAGCATTGAGAATAAATAGAGGAGGATGGAAATACACGTCTACATCAGCTGGGAAAACACACCTTCCAGTACTGGGTCGTGCCAGGAGGAATTTTAATTAGCTCACCACAGCCCAAATTAATATAAATAAAATAAAATAAAATATACCTTGTAGTTCGCAAAATTGTAACATCAGTGTTAAATGTGTGATGTTATTGCTGCCGATTTTAAAATAGAAAAAATCTACAAAGGCAAAATATCTTATATTAAAACTTTAAACTGAATAAATTTAGTTTAGAAGAACAAATGTTTTCTTTGGCCACTTCCTTTTCCTCACATTAACTCCATTTATTTCTTCCTCCATGGGATACATCACTGGATCTGCAGAAGTTTAAATAATGCATAAGAAAATTTTTCCCTCTAGGAAAGTTAGTAATGCTCACGTACTAAACTTCTACAAAACAAGACACCTTCCCATTTACTGCTCACCACTGAGGATACAGCTCTTTGGGCAATATTAACAGATCTGAAGGAGGACAAAGAAGTTTTGAAGAGGCCACTTGAAGAAGTGAAATCATTAAAAAAAAATATAAATCAATAGTTATTTACAATCCTTTTATATATAAAATACTCAGCTTCTAGTAACTGCAAAGAACAAGCACCACCAAATTAGAAGTTGTGCACCATGACAACACCTGGCATTCGCATCTTGACGAAGAAAGCTCCTAGAAGTTTTCCACTGATCAATAAACAGGAGCTAACAATTCTGGGAGCATTCTATACGCTCTCCTACACTAGAGGGTCAAACACTGAGATGTAGAGAAGGCAGTCAGAATGAGATGAGAGGAGAAGAAAGCATCTTGGCAGGTAACACAAAAAGTAGAACTATGAAAAAAGCAAAGGAGGAGGCTTATAATGTTATCTGCAACTGCATTAAGCCAAGAATTTTGGCTGAAATCTAGTTGCATTACAGTTGTTAGTAATCCATTTTTTCCACTATTGGGGAAGCCAAAGTTTCCATTGGTTCTAAAAGAATTGTGGTCTGCAAGGGGCTAACACACAAACAGACAGCACAGTACCAATGGATAAAAGTGATTTTGAGACATGTCCAACTACTAAATGAAACGAGACACAGAACAAGAATCTAACACGTAGGGACAGATTTATGGATTATCATAGTCCAACCTGTTTGCATTGGCTTGTTTAGACACCTCCTTCAATCTTTTCATTTTTTTCCTAACTGCACCAGCATCAGGTAAATGGTGATGACCTGCAGGCCCCTTAGGAACTCCTGGACGTATTCCAGGTGGAATTCCTCTGTAGATAAATATGTACAGTAATTTTCATTACTCTCATCTAAAACAGACCACATGCAGCTTCTAATGGAAGGTAGCCATACCTTTCAACAACTTCTCGGCCTTGTACTTTCGCCCTCAGTTTGGCTTCCCTCTCTTCAGCTACTCTAATGTTTTCCTTTTGCTGTTGCATCTGGTCAAAAATAGCATGATAGTGTTCATATTGTCCTCTGGAAGACACGGGAAAAGGACCAACACCACCTCCGCCACCATAATACGGTGCCTGGAAATCAGAAGGGGTAGGGTGAAAATCTCAAACACTGCTTTTAACAAGCCCTTCCAATTTTCACCTCTTCAGTAGAATAAAAGCATTAATATGTCCTGCAACATTGTCTGAATTGGTTCTAGTTCTATTCCTGGCATGCCCCTATTTTAATGAACTACAAGATAGATAAATTTAAAACTTCTTTTTCTGTTAGCATTCTAGATAACACAGCATTTTACCTCCCTCTGATAACAGGAGACATCTGTCACATTTTGGAAGTAATTGGTAACAAATCCATGGAAGTGTAATTGGAGATAGATGTTCTACACGCCAACAAAGTTTTAGCACAAAAGCTGAAAGTGATACTGTACTAACTGAAGTACTAATAAGTGATTTGTAGCCAAACACCCATTTTTTCATGAAGCTGGAAACAGTTAAGTACACTCCTTAAGTTGCTGAACGGCATTAAGTGCAGATTTATCTGAGAATCCCCATTGTTACCAACTTGTAATTTGGTTTCATCACCAGAAATGAGATGCTTCCCTACTACAGCTCAGATCAGGGGAGCATCTACCACAAGCTATTGTTCTATGAGAATTATCTCTGTCATTCTCAAAGAATTAGAGAACCTTCATGGGAAAACAATAAAAAAAGAAATGTTGCAAGCAGCTGTGTACAGTAGTAGCCAAGGATGGATGCAGAAAATGTGAAACTGGCAAAACAAGGTTAAGGTTGTCAGCACATGCATAAAAATGTTCCCTTTACACCTGGGGGAACCAGTCAAAATAGCCCACGGTAGCGTATGAATTTGTTTTAACAATACTGTCAATGTTCCTTCCGGAGTGGTCTTAAGTATTTTAAATAAATTCAAATAGGTGAGTGCAGATGTGACAGGTTTAAGGTTGCCTACTTAGAAGTTCTTGAACAGATTATATTTGACAATGGAATTTAGCTCACATTCTGAGTTTCACTTGCTCAACAGCCATCAATAGCTCCCCATAATCCATATGATAGAATGTTAACCGAAAGATTTATCCAGGCATTCAAAGGAATATGCAGGTACACTGTTCACCTGCATAAAAATAATTTACTATACAAGAATATAGTTTCTACAAATAGAAGGCAAAGACTTGCTTTAGACACTATTCAAGGGTTCGCCTATCACTATTAGAGCTCAGTTTTCAAAAGGATTATCTAAAGAAATAGTATGATCAATCTCCAGGCAAATGCTATGAAGCAGGTGCTCAACAACAGTCTGCAGAACAGTTACAGCCCCTGCTAGAACCACAAATCCAAAGCCAAATCCTTGCCACCTCTTTC